GAGACAAAAGAACTTTTGTGTGTTAATGGTATCTGGGTGGGGAAAGGTGGGGAAAGGGGAAGTGGTTAATGGGAATGAGAAAGAATTCTACAGGAGAAATACAGAGTAAGACAGATAGGGACAGAGCTGGCAAGTAGATGAAAGGGAGAGACTAAAGCAGAGAGGCTGAAAGGGGGGAAGGGTAGGATAGATCCAGAGAGAGTTACCCCTGGCAAACTTTGGGGTGCCTCAAGGAGGGGATCACAGGTCTTCTGGTTAATAGCCAGAAGCTAGGTGGCGATTAACTGGTTAATAAAGGTGGTTTTCAGGATTAAGGTTATTTCATAGATACCTTTTATTGGATGGCAAAAGACTTGTGAGTTTGAGACCTGAGAGTCACAAAACTGCTGCCACTGTTCCTTCCAACCATGGCTCTCTGAGAAATGAGTCAATTAAAAACGCAGGCCTCCTTCCTGGAGGCCAGAGAAAAGAAAGATGCAACTGACTACAGAAGGAAGGCAAGGCAGTCGTTTTCTTCTGGCACATGCTAGACATTTAGAAAATGCAATCGGGAAGAAAAATTCTGATCAGTGGAGGGAGTCCAATTCATGTCTTCAAAATTTTTTTTTCCTTGACCCATCTTTAGGGAGGGACCCTTAGAGGATCAGGCCCACTAAAGGCCCGCCAGAGCACAGGAAAAATTTAGAACCACAGGAGCCGGTTGGATTTGAGCCCAGAGAAGCACATATTGCTATTGCAGTTGCCTTGGTAACTGGGGGGGCAGGCAGAACACGGCCTCCCCATCTTGTATGGAGCCTCGCCGATCCAGTTGCCCCTGGAAGAGAAAAGGTCCCAGGGAGATGGGGTCAAGAGACACAAGAGTGTGTGTGAACAACCTTCACACAGGATTCCAAATCTCAGCACCACCACTGGCTGGCTGTGCGACCTTGGGCAAGTCACATCTGCAAGCTTCAGTTTCTTCATCTGTACAACCAAGAGAAGACTTCCCTCTGTCTAGCATAGGGATGCCGTGAAGATGAAATAATGCAGCCACATGTGCATGCGCCTAGCACCATGCCTGGCAAATAGGTGACTCCCCAGTAAGTGTTGGTTTTCTTATTCTTTCCACCACCCCTTACCCCAACTCAGACAGATCTAAGTTCTGGGCCTGGGTCTGGATTCTGCCACCTGTCAACTGGTGACAGAATAAACCATCTCATTTCTTGAGATTGTATTTTGTCCTTTGAATAAAATAAATAAATGAAATGGTATCTGTAAAAATTATGTGAAGACTCTTTGTAACTTGCAAGAGTTCTGTGCAGCCCGGCCGGTGTGGCTTAGTGGTTGAGCATCGACCTATGAACCAGGAGGTCACAGTTCGATTCCTGGTCAGGGCACATGCCCGGGCTGCAGACTCGATCCCCAGTAGGGCGTGTGGGAGGCAGTCAATCAATGATTCTTTCTCATCATTGAGGTTTCTATCTCTTTCTCTCTCCCTTTTCCTTCTCTCGCTGAAATCAATAAAAACATTTTTTTAAAAAAGAGTTCTGTGCAAAGGAGGGCTCAAATAATGAGATGATGAGTGTAATTCAGTCATGGGGGATGTGCCCATGAAGCCTCCTCATGGCCACTGCTGGACATTCATTTCTTCCATGGCCTTAGCCCAAATCTATCCTACCTGCTCCTGAGTTAATCCTTTCAACTGGCCAAGGCCTTTAGGAGGAAGGGGAATGAGGAGCCATTGCTTAATGGTTACAGACTTTCTCTTTGGGGTGAATAAAAAGTTTTGGAAATAGTGGTTGTACAACATTGTGAATGTAATTAATGCCACTGAACTGTACACTTAAAAATGGTTAAAATAGCAAATTTTATGTTATATATATATTTTACCACAGTTTTTACAAGTTAATAATGTAATCCCCTGGCCGGTGTGGCTCAGTTGGTTGAGTGTCAGCCCATGCACCAAAAGGTCACCAGTTTAATTCCAAGTCAGGGCATATGCCCAGGTTTCCAGTTTGATATCCCAGTCGGAGTGCGTACAGGAGGCAACCAATCAATGTTTCTCTCTCACATCAATGTTTCTCTCTCTCCCTCTCCCTTCCTCTCTAACATAAATAAAAAATAATTAAAATTAAAATTTAAAAATATACTAATAATGTAATATAACAAAATCCACTGAATTTTACACTTCAAATGGATGAGTTGTATCCTATATAAATTATACATATCAAAGATATATACATACACACACACACACACACACACACACACACACACACATGTATATATAGTGGTTAAAAAAAAAAAGGAACATCGAACACCACCTTTGCCTGTTTAAGAACAGTCAGTGGTTTCCCATTGCCTGTGCAGTGATTGGCAATTTTTTTGGAAAGGGCAGAGAGTAAATATTTTAGGCTTTGTGGACCAGATGTGTCTACCACATGAAAGCAGCCATAGATAATATTTAAATGAATGCCTTCTCTGTGTTTCAATAAAACTTTATTTACAAAAACAGGCAGCATGCCGTGGCCAGTGTCACTCAGTTGGTTGAGCATCCTCCCATGTACCATAAGGTCAGCCAGTTTGATTCATAGTCAGGGCACATGCCCCAGTTGGGCTCGATACACAGTAGGGGGCATGCAGGAGGCAGCTGGTTGGTGTTTCTCTCTCACATAGATGTTTTTCTCTCTCTCCCTCTCCCTTCCTCTCTCTAAAATCAATAAAAACATATTTTTAAAAAATTGGCAGCAGGCCAGATTTTGGTCATAGCCCGTAGTTGGCCAACTCCTGGCGTACAGAGTCACATCACCTCTTTTGGTCAGGCATTCTAGACTGCTCTAGCAGCACGTGGTCCAGCTTACACACCTCATCTTCCCACAACTCCCTTCTCCATCCCAGCCCACAGATTTCTCTTTTTCTCTCTCTTTCTCCTCTCAAGGCCTAAAATCGTTTCCCCAGCTCTTTCTTGCTTGTGGATGACTAATAAGGTCACCATTGGTCTATAGTGTTAATTATTTTTGCAAATCCCAGTGCCTTATTTTCTTACACTTCAAATGAACACTCTGGGCAGAAATAAAATCTTTTTTTCTCCAAAAGTGATTATTGAACGACTACGAGTAAAGTCAGCCAAAGTGCTTAGAAAAGTATGCACTTCTGGTTTCATATGGAACTTTCATTCATTCACTCATTCATTCATTCACACTTCCAGAGCATCTATTGGGCATCAGGCTTTGTGTCAGATGCTGTAGTATACAGTTTTCAAAAGGTCTCTTGGAAATTTAGGGGCAGGGAGAGTGGGTGATGGAGACACCAAGGGTAATGGAATCAGAGTAGTTCTTTTTCTTTTTTTTAAATTTAACCACTTGGAAAAAAGTCCTACTGCTTAAAAAAAGGGGGGGGGGTGTTGGCATCATTGTAATGGAAGGATATAGAAATGAGTAAGATCTATTTCCTGCCTTTAGAGAGTTTATAACCTAGTCATAATCATGGGCATCATTTATTTACCACGTACTATGGGCAACAATGTACTATGATTCTCTGAGAGCCAGATACTATTAGCTCTGTTTAAAAAAATTGACTGTAGAAATCAAATGCCTTAGCCAAAGTCCTCACTGTGTACATGGCAGAGCTGGGAATCAAACACAGGTCTGGTAATGACAATAAGAACCAACACATATTCTGAGTTTCTTAGGAGCCTGGGGGCGGTTTCTGGGTCAACTTACCTATACTAGTAAGTAGAATATGCATCCATTTTGCAGATGAAGAAACAGTCATAGAGAAACTAAACTACAATTGGAGCCCTGACAGTCTTAATTCCAGAGTCTAAAAATCTTAACAACTACGCTATTAATACTCAATGCTGCAAAAATTTGACATATCAGCAAGCAAACTGAAGAGTTTCATAAGCTGTATGTATTGAAATTTGGTTGTATTTTTCCTTGTCTAATAAAGCTGAGCTACGATATGACATGCTGTCAATAGCAAATAAATAGCTAGAGAATTTATGTTCAGGCTACCAATGACTTCCAGAACATCAGGATAGTAGAATAGAGCCAACATAGGACTTGAAATCAACAGGCTTGTGTTTCAAATAGCTCTGCTACTTATTGGCTTTGCAACTTCTGGTAACCTCTCTGATCCTCAATTTCTTAACCTGTAAGAAGGGAAAATATTTTCCCAGTGTCCTTCCCTTTTTCCTTCCTTCCTTCTTTCTCTTTCATCTCTTCAGTGAGATAATAAGGTGAAAGTATTTTTTAAATGATCAAGGGCTACGTGAGAGTAAAAGTTGGTTATCATTATATAATTTTGTAATTCCAAATATCGTGTTTACTTAGAATTTGTTCTTGTTTCTATCTCTATAAGAATCTGTAATGTTTGCAAGTTTGTATATGATACATTGGAAAGAAACTTCCATTTCCCTTTCTCCATAGTCCATGGTATGAAGACCACTTGTGTCTTCTCTCCCACCACGCTGACTGGAGAGTCTGGGAGAGTCGGATTAGCTGAACATGCTCATTCGAATTCTCCTTCCTTTCCTTTGGGGCCTGCCTGCAGGGCGCATGTGTTTTTGTTTGCTTTATTTCATGTGTAAGCTTAGAGGGGCTGGCACTGCCCTTGCAGGAAGAGGCCTGTGGTTGCCCAGTATTGTCTGTCAATGGGTGTGCAGGTCTAATTCAACAGTGAGATATTTGCAAGCCCACTTGGCTAGCAGATCTAAACCACATTCTCCACTATTGACTTCTTCAGTGTCACTGCCTGTCCACCTGCCTCAGTCCTCTATCTTCCAATAAATTCTGAAACTTGGGTAAAGAAAAAGGATTATTAATGGACTCTAAACCTACCCAAATGTATGGCATTGAGGTTACTTAGAATGGAGGAAGGCAGGTTCCTTTTCTTTGAATTCTGCCCATGCCACCTCAGGATCCACCTTCCTGACCCAGATCCCCCTCTGTCCCAACACTGCACTTACTTAATAGCGTAATTGCAGACCAAGTACACTGCCTGGTGCCAAGTGCTGCCCCAGACGCTGATGCTGCCACAGGTGTGGATGGCACAGCCCAGCCGGTTGGAGGATGCCCACACCATCTGAGGAAGGACACAGACAAGGGGTGCTGAGAAGGATACAGTGGGGCCCAGGTTCCTTGGGGCTGGGAGGCTCCTGCACTTGCTTCAGGGTGGGTGCATTGTGAGGTCTGCCTGTTCCAAAGTGAGGGAACTGGAAGCATATCCTATCTAATAAAGATGGAATATGCAAATTAACTGTCACTCCGTGACAAAGATGGCAGCACCCACAGCCAATAAGGAGAGAATATGCAAATTGATGTGACAAAGATGGCAGCAGCTGGGCCATGGCAACTATGCAGGCATTCCGCCCCGCCCCAGCCGCTCGGGGCCTCTGGGCAGCACGCGGGAGCAGGTGTAGAGTGGCCGGGGCAGGACGCCTGCTATGGGGGGGCGGGGGGGGGTGGAGGGAGCCACAGGAGGGCGGCAGGGCTGGAGCGAAGGCAGAAGGTGGCTCCGGCCCAGAGTGAAGGTGGAAGGTGGCGGTCAGAGAGAAGGCCCGGGTCCTGGGTGCCGGAGGGAAGCCTGTGCCGGCAGCCAGGGAAAGGAAGGCCTATTCTTGCACGAATCTTCATGCATCGGGCCTCTAGTTGTACTGCTCTATTAGGGTTTGGTTTTTTTTTTCTTTTCTTTTTTTCCTAATGACCACTGTTTGAAAATTGTTGTGCTGGAGTTTAAAATACAAACTTTGGAGTTAAATAGCCTTGGATCAGAATCTCACTATCACTAGCTGAGTGCCTTTGACCAAGTCACTTAACCACTCTGCGCCTCAGTTTCTAAGATGGAGGTAATAATATTTCATGGTATGTCAGGAAGGGCATTGGTTTTGGCCTTACATTTCCTAGAGAGTCTCGAATTTAGAATTTTGATATTAACTCCACATGAGTCCTAGAGAGACCAAGAGGACCGAAAGAAGATATTTGACATGCAATTAGAAGTTCCTGTTTTATTTCCTGCAATATCATATTGCATTGTATTTTTATGTGTGATAAGTGCTAACATATTCAATATTAATACTCAAGATATACCATGATTTTTATGATCTTATTTTGGCCTTTCTCTTTTTCTTTTCTTCTCTTTTCTTTTCTTTTCTTTTTTTTTCTCTCTCTCTCTTTCTCTCTCTCTCTCTCTTTCTCTCTCTCTCTCTTTCTTTTTAAGATAGTGGGAGCCTTAGAAAACAGAAAATACTAGAAAATATTTGGACCTATTGAATTCAAAAGCACTCTTGATCTTGTCAGACCATACATCCTCATTTTGGGGTCAATCTGGTCAGCACACCTAAGACACTCAAAATTAGATCCAGTTCATCTCAATTCAACTTTCCAGGAACATGCTTATTATGTAAGAGGAAGTCCATAGGGGGCTCTGTTTTATTTGTAGTTTCTGTTCCACCACATGCTTTTTCTTCCAAGGGATCAGGATTTGTTTTCCCATTAGCCCTTAGTCCTGACAAAGGGGTACCTGGGTGTAGTGGGAGCACACAGGGCCACTGCAGCGCCAGGGGCAGTGTGGGCTGCAGTCCTTTGGGGCTGGAAACAAGTAATGCCGCTTCTCCTCAGACCAAGACTTCACGAGATCGACCACCGAGCGGTACCTGGGGAGGCAGAGAAGATGGAAGACACAGGGCGGGATAGGGGTGGGGGAGGAAAAGTCACTCTGCCACCAACCTGCTCGTTCACCTTGTTGAATGACTGAGTGAAGGAAGGGCAGAGGGTCACTCACCGGCCAGAATGGATGGCGAGGTTCTGGCCCACGAATCTCATCAGCTGTGAGGGCCCATGGGCCCAGATGCACTGGGTGGCCCAGGCCTCAGCAGACCTGGCCAGTCGCTCATCCCAGATCTGGGGAAAGAAAGGCCATGCAGTTCCCCGGGGAACCACCATCATCATCACAACAGTGTCCAGACTTCACATTTTCCTGGTACCATGACTCCCCTGGCCCTCGGAACCCTGCAATAATCCACTTGACAGATTAGAAAACTGAGCTCAGAGAAGGCCCGTGACTTCAAAGTCAACAGCAAATCCACATAGGAACTGACATGCACACCCAGGTCCCTTTTCTCCTCATTAGATTTCAAGATTGGGGCTTTCTGTTGTGAGTGGGGTTCCAGGGTATTGGTCCAGGCGTTCCCAGCAGTTAGAAGTGGCTGAACCCAGGGTAATGGGAAGAGAACTAATTTTTTATTTCATTTGTTATATTTTTAAAATGTATTTATTTTAACTTTAAAAATACTTAATTCAGCCCTGGCCGGTTTGTCTCGGTGGATAGAGCGTCGGCCTGCGGACTGAAGGGTCCCAGGTTCGATACCGGTCAAGGGCATGTACTTTGGTTGCGGGCACATCCCTGGTAGGGGGTGTGCAGGAAGCAGCTGATCGATGTTTCTCTCTCATCGATGTTTCTAACTCTCTATCCCTCTCCCTTCCTCTCTGTAAAAAATCAATAAAATATATTTTTTTAAAAATACTTAATTCAAAAGATTTTTTTAATAATAAAAACATGCACAAGTTTAATATGGAAGATGTCCAAATGAGGAAAAGTGGAAAGTCTCTCCCCTCTATTCTACACTTATCCTGCCAGCCACTGTGCCCCTTAGAGGCAACTGTCGCTGTGAGTTTCCTGTGTCTCCTTCCAGGAATATTCTAGATCTGTACAAGCATATATGATTACATATATAATTATACCGTATATATATAATTTCTTGACAAATGGCAGCATGCTACACATTCTATTCAGCACCTTATTTTCACTTAACAAGATAGGTTATCTTGGCGATTATTCCACATCCGTATGTAGAGAACACCCTCTCATCCTTCATAACAGCTTCATCATTTTGCAATGTATGAATGTTCCAAGTTTTATAACCTGAAAAGTCATCACTTAAAAAAAATACTAGTTTCCTTCCAGCTCTGACTTCCTGGGGTTCTCTGAGAAGTCATTTGTTCCTTCAGCAGATATTGCACAGTATTTCTAGGCACCGAGGACTCAGTCTAGCAAGGAAATGAGATGTGAAACCATCATTACAATCCTGGAGGGTGTGAGGATGTGAAATGGGCTGGAACTTGCTTGGGGCTGTGGCAGAGAAAAGGCTCCTTGAGCAAGGATATCTGTCCTGTGGGCAGAAGCCAGCTAGTGGAGAAGAAATGGGGCACCAGCTCACAGTCTTCTGGGAAAGCAGAGAAATGTTTCCTTCATTCTACCAAGAGGTAAACCGAGGGAAGGCAGAGAAGATGGAAGACACGAGGCGGGGGAAGGAAAATCGCTCTGCCACCAACCTGCTCGGTGACTTTGTTGAGTGACTGATTGAAGGGAGGGCAGAGGGTCACTCAAACCCACGTTCACCAACCCTCCCGGGTCCCTTGTGAGACATCTCTTTCTCTCTGCTCTACACTACCTGCCATATTCAACACCTGCTGAAGTGAGTGCCTTGCACACACAACTGGTGCTCAATAAATGTGTCATTTGTTTGAAAATGGAGGGCCTTCTATGTGCCAGTTGATGTGTTAATAAATGAATGAGTCAGTCAATGAACAAATAAATGTTCTCCCCCTCTAGCTGCCTGCCATTTCTGCTTCTGTCCCCACCCCTCCTCACACCTTATCACTACCTGTCATTATATTCTATATATATTTTGTTGATGTTCACTTTCTACCATCCTCACTAAAATGAAAGTTCCAGGAGGGAAGGGCGTTTGTCCATCCTGTTCTGGGTAGTGTCCATGAGGCTTAGCGTGGTGCCTGGCTCCAAACAGGCACTAGTAAGTGCATGGACTGTTGCAAAAGAATTTGCAGGCTGTTGTGCAGCAAGTTGGGGGTGGGACTGGCAATCTCTTTCCCTAAAGAAATCTGTGGGTGGGCTGGAAGCTTATGTCTCCAGACTGGTCTGGGACAATGGTCCCAGAGGAAGGGCTGTGATAAAGAGAAAAGTTTCCTCCTCCACTCTGGGAAGCTGGGGTCAGAGGCACTAGCCCTGTCTCTTTGAGAGCAGACATCCCAGCTTCCTCTCACGGTCAGCTGCTGGTTTTCTCAGCTGGAGACCCCCAGGTACCAGTCCCCACAGCTCCAAAATCTACCTCCACAGGCTTGTTGAGGATGGTCTGGGGATGGCCATCACACCCCTGGGGCAAAGAGACAATAGCATGGAAAGCTCCAGCTACCACCCTCTGCAGGTCCTCAGTGGGGAGCCAAAATTCTTGGGCAGGGTATTGTGTTGACTAAGACAATAGCCTTTTGCAGCAAGCACACTTGGGTTGGAATCCCAGCTGGGTGACCTTGGGCAAATTAATTCTCTGCATCTCAATTTCTTTATTTGGAAAATGAAGATGACAGTTCCCACCTCTAAGGAAGAGTATCCTCAGGGTATGTGAAGTGCCTGGCATACAGCAGGTGCTCCATAAATAACAGTTCTCTGCCCGACTCCCCGCAGGCCCTGTGTAATCACCTTTGTGCCCTCATCCACAAAATGGACAGACTACATCCTGCCCTTTCCACGTGGTCCAGACACCCAGATACTGGCTTGTGGGGCCAGGTTGGTGAATGGTCCAGCCCTTCCAAGGTTGAGATAAGTGGTGTTTGCTGGAAGGGGGACTGGGGAGGGCACAGGGACTCACCATATACTCCATGTTGGCAGCTGGTGGGTGCACGCTGGCCCTGATGTGGTTGTGATAATCCAGTAAGGCACTCATGTCCCGGGCAGAGATGTGGCGCTTCCGCCGGTAGTGGGGCACCCCCAGGCCACTTAGAGAGTGCACTGCTGTGCCCTCGGTCCAAGCCAGCACTAGGGTGGCATTGGGCATCAAGGTGTTCACTGTCTGGCCTGCCCAGAAGATCAGGACTGCCAGGCCCACAGTGCTGGGCAGCGGGGGCATAGCTGGCTGAAGGGGTCACACGTCTGCCTTGTGCAGTCAGAGCTGGCTGCCTGGAGGGGGTGGGTATAAGGGCACCAAACCATGAGTGTTCTCCAGCATTGCCATCTCAGAGGATGCTAACCCTGGGAGCGTGGTGAAGACCTGCTGACTCAGCTCTGGCCCAACACCCTGTCCTTCCCACCCCAGCAGACTGAGTGGATTGGGCAACAGAAATGCCCAGACAGTAGTTAACCTGGATCAGGACTTGGGGTGAGATGGTGCCACCACTTGAAAGCCAGGGCTCCATCCCACCAGCCCAGAAGAAAGATCTGTCCTCCCCATCCTAGATGCCCTCTTCACCCATCCTGCTTAAAGTGGGCTCCTTCAATGCCCTCAGAGGGGCAGGGCCAACCTTCCCCAAGGCTTAGTGAGGGCTCTCTTGTCCCTGAGCTGCTGCACTTTCAGCAGTAAGGGCAAGACACAGAAAGAAGCACTTTCTGTGGAAGAATGAAAGATGTGGAGAATGAAAGAGGCAGAGAGAAAGAAAAACAAGAAACAGAAATGAGCAAGACCAAAAAAAAAAATACAGAGACACTGAATGGAAGATATAGAAAGGTGGAAAGATACAAGACAGAATGAGAGATGATGACAGGAGGAAAAAGAAAGAACATTGGGTCAGGGGGTGGGGGGAGACAGAAAGAAAGGTAGAGAGAGAGAAAGACAAAAGAAAAAAAAACAGAGAAGAGGGAGAGAGAAATAGACTTGAGAAGAGAGCTAGAGAGAGGTGAGCAAGAGACCATGCAGCAGGAGCTCATACCCAGGACAGGCGGGGGTGGCAGGAGGAGTCCGAAGAGGAGGCAGGGGACTTCTGCTGACACCCTGGCCCGCCTGGCAGCACAGCGACTTTAAAGGTCCCCTGGGAGCTGATGGCATCTGACGCGCCCTGTCCCACAGCCCCCTCCCCTTCCAGCCAGGCCAGGCTTGAACAGGAGGCTCCGCCCACTGCCCATTTGCTGGCTTTCCTCTCCAGCCTCTGCTGTTCCCACTTCCATCTGGAGTGTGCAGAGCTGGGGCTAGGCTGCTGGTCAGGGTAGGGATGTGGCAATGACAGGGATTCCAGGAGGAAATCTCAACCCCCTTTGGGAGACCCAGAGGCTTTTCTCTGCCTCCAGACCCCAACATATCAAGGCCACCTTGCATCCAGTGTATTTTCTGACTGTTTTCCCTACATAGCCCACTGGCCTCAGAGCAGGCTGTTAACATGGCCCATCTCATGAGCACCTACTATGCACCAGGCCTGGACTGAGTGCTTCATATGAAAGCTCAGCCAACTCTCAGAAGCATACACGATAGCTCTCCATTTTACAGATAGAGAAACCAAGTCCCATAGAGGTGAAGGAACAAAAGTCACGCCAGCCTATCTGCAACAATGCAAGGATTCAAGTCCAAGTCTGACCGCAGGACCCTGTGAGTATGTAAAATAGACGCCATCTTTTGTATAGATGCATAGGAATAAAGCCTCAGGGCATATTCGTTGTGATGCTGCTCATAGCACTGTGTAGCCTCATTAGTTAAGCATTCAAATCTCCATTTCACTCACTCACTGGGTGTCCTTGGGCAGGTTACTCAACCATTTTGTGTCTCAGCTGTCATAACGGTACCTACCTAGAGCATTGCTGCAAGGACTAGACAAGTTAACATTTGTGGAGCACTCAGACAGGTCCTGGCACACTGTGTGCATGTGCGTGTGTGTGTGTGTGTGTGTGTGTGTGTGTGTGTGTTGCCAAAGCCCCTTTGCTGTTGTCCTTCTGAGTTAAGAAAGTTTAATTTCCTCCTCTCTGATTAATTGTATTCTCCATGAATAATACACAATACTTTTGTTATGAGAGGGGGATAGACTTACAAGAAAGATGTTACATAAAAAAAAAATTTGAAGTATTTGTGAGTCTTCAGCCTCCTCCTCCAGTGACCTCTGAGAATCTTCAGGCAGAACCAGGTGGTGATGCAGGGCTGGAAGCTGGGACTGGACTACCCAGGCGGGGTCCTCCCCAGACACATGGGATTCTCACTCTAGGCAGCCACCCAGCTCCAGCCTCCATGGCCCAGACAGTGCCTGCTGCCACACACCTTCCTTCTGGAGCAGCTTCCCCCAGCCCAGGCTGGATGCTGGGGGAGGTGGGGCAGGCAGAGCAGTGAGTGATGGGAGCTGCCAACACTGACCTCTGCAGAGAGAAAGAAAAACAAGAAACAGAAAAGAAATGAGCAAGATCACCCCAGAAGGAGAAGAGAGACTGGCTCCCATCTAGCCCCATCACTGGGTATATTCAGTATGCTGGGTATCCCAGGGCAAGTCCCTATCCTTCTCTGGGCCTCAGATGCCCCATTGGAGAAACTGGACTAGGGCTCTTCTGCCTACAGCAGTTGGGATCCGTGGTACACCAAGGGGAGCTCTGCAGCCCAAGGGAGGAGGACACAGCCTTGGCACTTAGGACTCCAGGAGTGTCAACAATTGTGCCCACTCTCTCAGAATGCTTAACATGAACATCTCCCATGTAACTGGCACCTGCATTGGTTCAGAGCTTCACATCCATCTCTCACAGCTAAGTTTGAGGTAGTAACCCCACCCACTGTACAGATGAGGATACTGAGGCACACAGAGCCTCAGTGACTTGCCATGGGGCCTAGAGCTTGTTTGTGTGGTAACTGGGGTTCTGACAGTGAATATCCTCAAGACATTTATAGAATGCACACGCAACTGTGCACACATCACACAAGCACATCCTCCTCCCACAAATTAGACAATCCATTCCACCAGCCCGAGATCCCTTCTATTGTGCACCCCTTCTACTGTGCACCCACCCTTTCACATTTAATATCTGACACATATAAGCTGTATGTATTTGCCCCATCTCAGTGCCTAGCACTGTTTTAATCACTTTTGTGGATAAGCTTATTCGATCTTCAGAGCATCCCTATCCAGTCAGTACTATTGTCATTATATCCATTTTTATATATATGAGGACACTGAGGCACAGAGAGGTGAGTCATTTATCTGCGGTCACACAACCAGTGGGTGGCTGAGGTGGGATAGGCACCTGGGAAGGCTGGTTACCCTGTCTCTCCACAGAGACAGACATGGAAGAAGGTAGGACCCTGCAGTTCCGTCATGCATACAAAGTCACCATCTCTTGTCCTGCATGTTCACACATCCACAGAAACCCAGAAATCACACTGGTGGCAAACAAACAGGGACACCCCTGGCTGCTCCACCAGGTGGAACCTTCTCTGTGTCCTCATTGACTAAGGCAGGTTTCCAGGGGATAAAAATGTTAGAAGGGGGAGGCAGGAAATAATCAGGGGCAACCCAGATGAATGTCCTGGCTGGTCACTACCTTTAGGGTAGGAATACTTTCTCACCCTTGGAATTTTATCACCCTGGATTCAGCTATTGCTCCATCCTCACCCATCCTAGAATTCTCTCTGGGTTTGAGTGAACAGAGGGGAAATTATTCTAGACAGCAGTGATATTCAAGGCAGTATAACTCAGTAGCTAACAGAAAGCCTAGGTCTATGACCCACTTCTATGGCTTACTAGTTATGTAACTGTGGGCAAGTTACTTAACCTTTCTGTGCCTCAGTTTACTCATCTATAAAACAGGGCTGCCTCATGACACTGTTATGAGGATTAAATGAGTTAGTACATCTGAAGACCCTTGACACAATGCTTGGCACAGAGAAAGCAGCCAATAAGTGTTACCTATAATAATAGCTAATAATAATAACAATAACAGTCAATATTTACTTAGCACATACTAGATGCCAGGCATTACATGCTTTAGAGTCATGATCTCATTTAAGCTCATTTCATGGGTTAAATATCAGGATCTTCTTTCTATAGAGGAGAAAGTAGAAACTCATAGAGATTAAGTAACTCACCCAAGTTCACACAGCTAGTCCCAGTGGAAACTGGGTCCCAACGCTAGGTCTCTCTGATCCTTACCCTGCAATAGCTGCTTCTGAGAAAAGACTGTGGGACAGGAGCCTGGTGCTTGAGAGAGGAGACTGAGAAAGCTGGAAGGGCCTTAGGAATCTTCTCAGTCACTCCCTCATTTGCCAGTTGAGGAAGGCGGTTCAGAGAGGTTAAGTGACTTGACCAAGGTGACACTGCAATTGGCAGACTCAGTACTGCAACTCAGATTTACTATATTCCAAATCGAAGTGGAGGAGGGAGGGAGCTTGAAGGAGGAAAGCACATGTAGAAAAACAAAACAAAACAAAACACAGTGGTGATCCAGACCCTTCAAAACTCTCCAGGTCAGCCCGACTGGTGTTGCTCAGTGGTTGAGCGTTGACCCATGAACCAAAAGGTCACCAGTTCAATATCCAGTCCAGGCACACGCCTAGGTTGCAGGCTCAATCCCCAGTAGGGGCATGCAGGAGGCAGCTGATCAATGATTCTCTCTCATCATTGATGTTTCTATCTCTCCAGTCCTCTCCCTTCCTCTCTCTCTAAAATCAATAAAAACATTTAAAAAACAACAAACCAGCACTGCAGGTCCTTCCAAAAGATAAACTGTAAGAAAACAAAAGGGATGGAAGAGGTATTAGTGGAAACAGTTAAAAAACACAAAATTTTTCAATGGTGTAAGACTAAGTTCTACTATTTAGAGATGGGTATTTGGGCAATAAAACTATAAAGAAACACAAAGAAATACTATATAGTAAAAGTCTGGCTATGATGGGGTGGGACATTTGAAAGGCTTATATTTTGTGATCTGACTGGTGGTTGCACATGGTTCACCTTATTAGGTTCTACATTTATTTTATGTGACTTTCTGTATTTGTGTTTTATTTTACCATAAAAAGGATTAAAAAAATAACAGCTGTAGTAATTTATATGGTGACACCTTCCTTCTATTACCGCCTGAACCACGTACCTTCTTTTTAAAGGTTGAGGACATGGAGGTTCAAAGAGGGAGGCAACCTGCCCACAGTCACACAGCAAATAAGTCTGGGAGCCAGAACGCAACCCCAGTGGCTTGGTGTGTCTCCGCAGCACAGCGGTGTTTGGGCTGCCGGTGGCAGCTCCTGACCGAGCAAACAGGATTAGAGAGGTCTCACAGCAGGTTCAGAGAAACCAGCTCCTCAGAAGGTAAAATACACCCAGAAGCACCTCAGGGTGCCCAGGTCTGACTGCTGCTCTCTCTCTCCCCAATTAACAGCCACTTCTTTGGCAAGGTACCTCGTGGATGGTTGGATGGTCTAGTGGACAAGGACCAGAGCTGTGGAGTCAGAGAGGATCCTGGCTCCCAGTGAACCAGGGCAAGTCATAAGCCCTCTCTAAGCCTCAGTTTCCTCATCTGTAAATTGGGAACAATAAATAGGTGCTACCTTATTTGGCCATTATGAGAAATTCAGTGAGACACTGAAAGTGTTAGCACACAAAGCAAAGTTTGTCCAATGTTAGCTATTAACCTGCCCAAACAAACTGCGTGATTCCATTTTCAAGATGCTAAATTATAGGCAAAACTAACTTAGGATGATAGAAGTCAGAACAAGGGCTAATTCTGGGGGGTACTGACTGAGAGGGGAATGATGGAGCTCCTACGGAGGCTGCTGTATCTGTTTCCTATTTTGATCTGGGTGGTGTACATATATAAAAATTCATCTACTTGTATACTTTAGATTTTGGCACTTAAAATTAATTTATACCTCAATAAAAAAGTTAAGAGTTATATTTAGTTTTAAAAATCTTAAAAAGAGCTCTTTCAGCAAGAATAAAATTAAAGTCCTATATAAAAGAGAAAACACACACACCAACAGAAATATCGCATTCCTGTCTCCCCAACACACACTTCCTACCCCATATACATAATTACCCTTCCCCAATACACCCACAAAAACCCCTTACACTGTACACACACATCCAAAGACCCCGATACTCCACACAAATAGAAGTCACTGTCCAGTAAAACAGACACACCTGGCACTCCCACTCAACCTCACAGCACATCCCTCTTCAAATATAAATGCTTTCCCACTCTGGGTACATGGGAACACACCCTACATGTAAACACACAAATGGAGACACAGGCAAACCAAACCCATAGACTGAACTGACTCCATGGGCAGCTTTGTGAGTCAGACAGACGTGGGTCTTGGCCCCACCACGTCCTCACCATGGGACTTTGAGGCAAGTCATGTAATTTCTCTGAGCCTGTTTCCTCGTCTGTAAAATAGGTTTAATAAGATCTCTCATGAAATGAAATAAAATTAAAAAGGAAGAGCATGAGCAAAACAGTTCTCAGAGGCTGAAGGAGTTTTGTCTAATTTGTTTCTGAATCATGTCAATATAAGTAAACTTGTGTGTGCTGTCAGTTCTCACCAGCTTAATGTACAGACACAGTATGATCCCAATAAAATTCCAACAAGGTTTCTGGAAGAAGTTGGCAAGTTGCTTATAAACTTCATGTAGAAGAGCTATGGCTCAGGAATTTTCAAGATATTCCATTAGTCATATTAGTAATACATGATGATTAAGCAACCCCCCTAAAACTGAGTAGTTATCTGGGTGAAAAGAGAAGCTGAAACACTAGGGGTGAGCCAGAGAGACAGCAGTACAAGGAGAAGGGAACAGCACAGGCAAAGGCTCTGAGGCAAGAGGGAATTTGGTCCATTTGAAGAACTGAAAAAGGGCAGGTTAGGGAAGACTCAGAGGGTACAGAGAGTGTAAGAGGTGGACTGAGAGATCAGCTCAGAGGTAAGCACGGGCTGTTGCTTGCAGGTTGGCGGCCTTGAATGCCTCACCAACTGCAGGGCTGATGAAGACCTGAGATTCTCCTTCAGTGCTTGGCCCTATTGGGGCATAGGGACTGGGGGCTGGGAGGGAGGTGGGCAGACCAGGGCTTAGTTCTTCAGGAAAAGACAGCGCCTCACCCAAGTTCAACCTAGGAGCTGATATCCCATGGACCCCAGAACCCTGAAATCTGGGGGGGGGGGTGCGGGGGGGCGGGTCTGTTTCTGTCCTCCTCTCTGTAAGGATTCCAAGCTGGGTGTTTGCAGGGCTGCGCCAAGGAGCCCCTCAACCTCCTGGGAGGACTAGCCCCCTCGCTCCTCCAAAAAAGTGGGGGTGGGAGCTGGAAGGTGTGGATGGCCACGCGGGCTTAACCTTGAAGGGGCATCCCATGCTCCTGAGCCCTGGCCCCGCAGTCTGGGGCGTGAGGCCACCGGGGCCAGCAGCCGTGCCCTGGGGGCCAGCAGCCGGAGGACTGGAGAATCCTTGTCTTGGTCCAGTCGGACAGCTGCACCGCCAGGTGTGGCTGTGGAATTTGCTGTATTGCCGGCCTGTGCAGCTGGAGCGGAAAAGCCTCCGCGTCAGCGCCCCCAGCCTGACCACCGAATTCCTGCGCGGGGTGTGGAGCGCCGGCCCTGCGGTCACATGCCAGTGCGGGACCCTAAGAATTCAATAGGGCGGGGTGGGAAGGGGCCTGTGGGACCCTCTGAGCCTCCTTGCAGTTCAGTGGCATGAGAACTGAGCCAGACTTCCATCTGCTAAACGGGGACCGTGCCGCTTTGCCTTGCCTATCTCACAGGCTAGCTACCATGAGCAGTCAAAGATGAACATCTTCTAGAGGTGAACGCCGATTGTGCACTTACTGTATACCTGACACCTAGTAAAATAAAGTTTCATTTATTTATCTGGGCAACAAAGTTAGCACAATACCGTTCTCATTTTTAGGTGAGGAAACAGAGATAAGGACTTACCCTAGGTCACACAGGTAAATTCTGAATCTAGACTTGAACCCGTGTCCGTCTGACTGTGATCTAAAACATGGCCGCTAAACCCTATCAACTGCTACTTGGTGAATTTGCAGAGTGCTGTGAGCAGGTGAGCCATTATTTTTGGTCAGAGTGGCACTCCCCAAATCTAGGAGGCAGTGTGGGTTAGTGGTTAAGCACTGTGCCCGTGGGGCATACCAGCCTAGTTTGAATCCTCACTGAGCTGGATTGCTAGCTGTGTGACTCTGACTAGGTCATTTTCTCAGCCTCTGTGTGCCTCTGTTTCCATTTGTAGACTGGAGTAATAATAGTACTACCTGCGGGGCTGTTGTGAGAAGGAAGAGAATCAAATACAGTTGGCCCTTAAACAACATGGGTTTGAACGGCATGGGTCCACTTATACTCAGATTTTTTTCAATAAATACATACAGTTCTGTAAATGTATTTTCTCTTATGATTTTCTTGAAAGTATTTTCTTTTCTCTACCTTACTTTATTGTAAGAATATAGTATGTAATGTACTAAACATACAAAATATGTGTTAATCGACTATGTTATTAGTAAGACATCCAGTCAACAGTACTTCAGTTTTAGGGGAGCCAAAAGTAATACACAAATTTTCGCCTGCAGGGGGATTGGTGCTCCTAATCTCTGCGTTGTTCAAGATCAACTGCACAGTAAAGCACTTAGCACAGTGCCACTGGACACTTAGTTAAGGCTCAATAAAACAGTGATTCTTTTTAGAACCTAGGCATTTTATTCTCAGTTTGGTGTTATATAATATATATATATATATATATATATATATATATATATATATATATATAAAATTTCATAAATTATGAATTATAGCCCTAGCTGGTCTGGTTCAGTAGATAGAGCGTCGGCCTGTGAACTGAGGGATCCTGGGTTCCATTCCGGTCAAGGGCACATACATGCCTGGGTTGCAGGTTCAGTCCCCAGTAGGGGGTGTGCAGGAGGCAGCCAATCAATCATTCTCTCACATCATTGATGTTTCTATATCTCTCTCCCTCTCCCTTCCTCTCTTAAATCAATAAAACATATATATTTAAAAAATAAAATAAATTACGAATTATAAGCAAGACTTATAAAATATAAATATGTACTTTAATGAATATTTTTAAAGCAAATATCTATGTGATGACCCACAGGTAAAGAACTAAGACATTGCCTATAACCCCAAGCCTCTGATCTCAATGTCCTCCCTCCATCCTATAGGTATGCGGAACTGGGATACTAGTTCCCTGCTTTCCCCCTCCCTCTCCCCACCTAATTTTACCAACAACTCTTTCAGGCAACAACTGCCCCTCCTCCCAGGCCTCAGCCTTGTGACGGCCTGAGAAAGGTCAGTTTGGGGACTGCAAGAGGATCCTCAAGGCTGCTGGGGATGGCTTAGGGTCCCTGGCAGCCCTTTCTACTGCTCTCCCTCATTCCTGCCCTCCCCCCCTCCCCCACCAGCCCTTCTGATCTTGTGCCCAACGGGGCCCAGATAATGAGCAGCAGGAGGTTGTATACTGGGAGGCACAGCCAGTAGATACAATCCGCACCCGCG